TTATTATATTACCCAGGCTGGTCTTGAACTCTCAGGCTCAAGAGAGCCTCCTACCTTGGCCTCCCAGAGTTCTGAGATTACAGGTGTGAGCTACTGCACCTGGCCTTTTTTCTTTCTTCTTCTTTTTTTCTTCGCCCTTCAATCTGTTCTGAGGACCAAGATTCATTTAGGGGATGGCTACAGAGGTGAACCAGGGTAGGCGATGAAAATACCATTCAAAGTTGAATGAAGCATCCATCCAGGAAGGGGAATATAACCTTACTATTATATTTAAATTGGCTGCTCTGGTGTGTTGAAGAACTTGGTGTTGGTTTGCTTCTTAGGTATCACAGGTCAAGAGATTTTTGTTCCATCATTCTGGGATTTTGGAGGAATTAAGAGTTTACAGGGGATTTTGGGAAATGTTGGGTTAGGTGATAACTGAAAGTATGTGCCGCTAAACATTAATCTTGGGCTGGGCGTGGTGTCTCACGCCTGAAATCCCAAAACTTTAGGAGGCTGAGGCGGGTGGATCACCTGAGGTCAGGAGTTTGAGACCAGGCTGGCCAACATGGTGAAACCCTGTCTCTACTAAAAATACAAAAATTAGCTGGGCATGGTGGTGGGTTCCTGTAATCCCAGCTATTTGGGAGGCTGAGACAGGAGAATCGCTTGAACCTGGGAGGTAGAGGTTGCAGTGAGCCAAGATCGTGCCACTGCACTCCAGCCTGGGCAACAAGAGTGAAACTCTGTTTCAAAACAAAAAATCTTGAAGGATTCCTTGAAAGATGAACTTCTGAAGTCAAATCCATTTGGGAAAACTCTGCAAACTGAATCCTCTCTTGGAGTTCCATAGTACACTCTGATCTTATTCATTGAGGCATTTGTTTTAAATAATGTAAATATTTATAGGGAGGAGAGTAAAATTGTGTTAATATAGTATTATATAGCCCTTAAAAAGGAATGAACTAGATCTCGATCTTCAGTCTGGATGGTTCTCAAGAACATGTAGAAAAACATTACAGAATGAGAATGTTGCATGTAGTATATAATTTGTGTGTTTTTTTTTAAAAACTGTATGCTTTCCCCAGTACAATAAAAATGCATTTTAATAAAGTCTAAAAGGATTCATACGAAGCAAGTAGTGATAGTTCTTGGAGAAATGATTGGGATTGGGAATGATGATCAAAAGGTCCTTTTTTGCCTTATCTGTAAAGGTTTGAGTTTTCTTAGGAATATATTTGTGTATTACTTATAATAAAAATTAATGAAATGCAAATGCCTGTTAAGTGTTGAGAAAGTTACTTTCTTTTCCCTGACTGGCAGTATCTACCCTGCTAAACTTCAAGTACTTCCATTTATTAATTCACCATCTACAAATTAAACTGAGTTTGCAGCCCCAGTATTATAAACTGGGAAATTCTTTATTACATGGTAACAAAATGATTTTTGTACATTATGAAGATAAATTAAGTGGCTTATACAGTCTAGTCCATGTAAGTTCTCAAGAGGCAGGCTTACTCAAGCTTATTGATTGTTTGTTCAAGACATCTTTCGAGTGCAACCAAGAGAAGTTTGAACTCGGTTCTTGAGCTGCTAGAGTTGCTGTATGTAGATTGGAACATTATGGTTCAAAATTAATAAAGATCAAAGAAGCAGACTGTCTTTGTTTGGTAATACTCTTTCCAATTCCATGGACCTTGTTCTTTATCTTATTCTCTAGACTTGATTTTGACATCTGAGTCAAACTTGAAGGCGCTGATGGTTCTGTTTGACTTTACCAATTGCCAGGCATCAATTTTAAATGGCTGCATTTTTGTAATGTAAATACGTTTTTTTGTTTGTTTGTTCGTTCGTTTGTTTGAGATGGAGTTTCGCTCTTGTTACCCAGGCTGGAGTGCAATGGTGCGATCTTGGCTCACCGCAACCTCCGCCTCCTGGGTTCAGGCAATTCTCCTGCCTCAGCCTCCTGAGTAGCTGGGATTACAGGCACGCACCACCATGTCCAGCTATTTTTTTGTATTTTTAGTAGAGACGGCGTTTCACCATGTTGACCAGGATGGTCTCGATTTCTTGACCTCGTGATCCACCCGCCTCGGCCTCCCAAAGTGCTGGGATTACAGGCGTGAGCCATCTCGCCCGGCCTTCGTTTTTTTTAAGAAAGGATGATCGTGAAAAAGCTGTAGTCACATAGAAGGTTTTCTATCAACACATTGACTTTATTCTTTCAATTTGCTTTATGCTGTAAGAGCCCATTGTCTGAGAAAGATTCATCAACTGAAAATATCTCTTCTTTAGTATGATTTATTTTCAGGCATATTTCTCCATCTTATCAAAGTAGTCATTTTTATATTTCATCTAAGTTAAAACTTGGACCAGGGCATAAACTGATCAATTTATCCTAAAAAACATTTAAATATAGGTTATGAAGGGATTCAAAATTTAATTTACACTACAGATATTTATTATGTTTTTGTTGTTGTTTTTGTTATTGTTTTGTTGAGATGGAGTCTCCCTCCGTTGCCCAGGCTGGAATGCAGTGGCTTGATCTCGGCTCACTGTCACCTCTGCCTCCCAGGTTCAAGCATTCTTCTGCTTGAGCCTCCCAACCAGCTGGGACTACAGGCCCCCACCACCATGCCTGGCTAATTTTTGTAATTTTAGTAGAGACAGGGTTTCACCGTGTTGCTCAGGCTGGTCTCAAACTCCTGACCTCATGATCTGCCTGTCTCAGCCTCGCAAAGTGCTGAGATTACAGGCTCAAGCCACCGCACCTGGCCTATATCTATTTTTTATAGTTGTTTATTGGCACCTACCATATGCTTGATATGCCAGGAAATTCAGAGTATTAAAATGCATTACTGCTCTTAGTGAGCTTCCTGTTCCTAAAATATTGTTAAGCATGCAATCCATATGCATACAAATTACTGGTGATTTAAGATGATTCTACCAGAATGCCAGTAGAAATTTGTACAGTATAAACTGTGTAAAGTGCTAAATAGAGTGAACTTTAGGAATGTTTTGAGTAGTTTAGCAGCCACTGAGGATGGAAAGGTTGCACGGCGTGTAGTCACGCAGAAAGTTATGAAGCCCCCTGTGTGGCTGCTGTGACTTCTCATTCTACCTGATTATTGAGGGTCTTGCACGTGGCAGTCACAGAGTGTGTGTTGTTCATGGGGTTTTAGCGATGCTTTCGAGAGAAATGAATGACATGATTAGCTTTATAGCTAGTGTGACTGTAAGGCGCGGCTTGGGGATTGAGCATAAGGTACACAAAGTGAAAGAAAAGGGAAGATAAAAAGGAGAACTTTTGAGCACTACAAATCCAAGTTAGCTTTTTTCTTCAGCTCAGATCATTCTCATACAGACTTTAAGGTTGTGATTGTTTTTTAATTTCCTGGTGCTTAATAGTTGCAAGAGTGTGTCAATTTTTAAAAACAGATTTTCTTTAATTGAAAAGTTGAGATACCACCTCACGCCAGTTAGAATGGTGATCATTAAAAAATCAGAAGACAACAGAAGCTGGAGAGTATGTGGAGAAATAGGAACACTTTTACACTGTTGATGGCAGTGTAAATTAATTCAACCATTGTGGAAGACAGTGTGGTGATTCCTCAAGGATCTAAAAATAGAAATACCATAGCCGGGTGCGGTGGCTCACGCTGTAATCCTACCACTTTGGGAGGCTGAGGCGGGCGTATCACCTGAGGTCAGGAGTTCGAGACCAGCCTGACCAATATGGTAAAACCCCATCTTAAAAAAATTAAAAAATAGAAATACCATTTGACCCAGCAATCCCATTACTGGGTATCTACCCAAAGGATTATAAATCATTCTGTTATAAAGACGTATGCACATGTATGTTTATTGCAGCACTGTTCACAACAGCAAAGACTTGGCACCAATCCAAATGCCCATCAATGATAGACTGGATAAAGAAAGTGTGTCACATACACACCATGGAATACTGTGAAGCCATAAAAAAAGATGAGTTCATGTCCTTTGCAGGGACATGGATGAAACTGGAAACCATCATTCTCAGCAAACTGATACAAGAACAGAAAACCAAACACTGCATGTTCTCACTCATAAGTGGGTGTTGAACAATGAGAACATACGGACACAAGGAGAGGAACATCACACACTGGAGCCTGGGGTGTTGGGGGTAGGGGAGGAATAGCTGGGGTGAGGGGATTGGGGAGGGATAGCATTAGGAGAAATACGTAATGTAGATGACAGGGCGATGGATGCAGCAAACCACTACCATGGCACATGTATACCTATGTAACCTGCATGATCTGCATATGTACCCCAGAACTTAAAGTATAATGAATAGCCGGGCGCGGTGGCTCAAGCCTGTAATCCCAGCACTTTGGGAGGCCGAGGCGGGTGGATCACGAGGTCGAGAGATCGAGACCATCCTGGTCAACATGGTGAAACCCCGTCTCTACTAAAAATACAAAAAAAAAATTAGCTGGGCATGGTGGCACGTGCCTGTAATCCCAGCTACTCAGGAGGCTGAGGCAGGAGAATTGCCTGAACCCAGGAGGCGGAGGTTGCGGTGAGCCGAGACCGCGCCATTGCACTCCAGCCTGGGTAACAAGAGCGAAACTCTGTCTCAAAAAAAAATAAAAATAAATAAAAATAAATAAAGTATAATGAATAAAGTTGGACTCCCTGGTACCCTATGTCTCTGTAATATGAATACCACCAAATTATTATACCATCATTTAACATAGAATTGATCATGAATGTGGCTGAAGTAAGTGAATTTGATGTCTGCTTCATCGATAAAATTATTCCCTGCTAACAAGTTTATCTGCGTTCTTAGTGACTGGATAAAGACCATTTAAATCAGCCCAATTCCTATCAATATAAAAAGTCACAAAAATGTTGAAGATACCTATTTCTCCTGGTAACAGGAATGATAGCTCTCAGTTTTCTAGTTTGGCCTTCATACCATGGAAGTCCTTAGAAACCTGTTTTATGAGTTCTAAATCATGCATATTCCTGTGTTCCAGGATTTCTCTCCAATCAAACAGACAGTTCAGGACTCAAGAGTCTGAGGATGAACGTTCACCGTGGCAGTGACAGTGACAGGTTATTGCGGCAGGAGGCCAGCTGCTTAGTGGATGATACCTCAGCTGCAGCCCAGGAAAAAGAAGCAAACAGCCTCACTTCATTTGGTCCTCATAATCTTACTTACCCTCTAGGTCCCAGGAATGAAGGTACAGTGATTAGCTCTTGACTTAATTTGGGTGGGGGGCTTTCTGATAACCAAAGCATCTACTCTACCCAGAAGGCATGAATGTTTTTAATGTAAATAAATTAGCCAATTAATTGCTTAGCTTGCAATCACAATTATATAAGGCTGACCTTCACAGAAAATCTCCACTTATTTAATCAGTCTAGCACATTTAATGTGGTGATAATGGTATTTTTGTTTTACATTTAATGTGGTGATAATGGTATTTTTTTTTTTTAAAGCCACAGGTTTGGAGTCAAGGCATATTTAGTTTCTAGCTCAGCTGCTTATTAGTTGTAACCACGGATGAGATCCTTAATGTTTCTGAGACTTGCTTTTTTTTCCCCCTTTTTTTTTTGAGATGGGGTCTCACTCTGTCACATAGGTTGGAGTATAGTGGCGTGATCTTAGCTCACTGCAACTTCTGCCTCCCAGGCTCAAGTGATCCTCCCCCCTCAGCCTCCCAAGTTGCTGGGACCACAGGTGTGCACCACCACGCCCAGCTAATTTTTTACATTTTTGGTAGAGACAGGGTTTCACCATTTTGCCCAGGCTGGGGAGCCTTGCTCCTAATGTAGAAAACAAGGCTATTAATATTCTTCCCAGGCCTGGTGCAGTGGCTCACGCCTGTAATCCCAACATTTTGGGAGGCCAAAGCAAGCAGATCACTTGAGGTCAGGAGTTCAAGACCTGCCTGGCCAACATGGTGAAACCCCTGTCTCTACTAAAAATTAAAAAATTGCCGGGCGCGGTGGCTCAAGCCTGTAATCCCAGCACTTTGGGAGGCCGAGGCGGGTGGATCACGAGGTCAAGAGATCGAGACCATCCTGGTCCACATGGTGAAACCCCGTCTCTACTAAAAATACAAAAAATTAGCTGGGCATGGTGGCGTGTGCCTGTAATCCCAGCTACTCAGGAGGCTGAGACAGGAGAATTGCCTGACCCCAGGAGGCGGAGGTGGTGGTGAGCTGAGATCGCACCATTGCACTCCAGCCTGGGTAACGAGCGAAACTCCGTCTCAAAAATAAAAAATAAAAAAATTAGCCTGGCATGGTGGTGAATGTCTATAATCCCAGCTACTCGGGAGGCTGAGGCACGAGAATCGCTCAAACCTAGGAGGCAGAGGTTGCAATGAGCCAAGATCGCACCACTGCACTCTAGCCTGGGCAAGAGAGCAAGACTCTTGTCTCAAAAAAAAAAATTCTTCCTACCTCACAAGTCTAGTAGGTGAACAAGTTAATGGATGTGAAGGTTCCTGATAAACTGAGGTTTTTTTTAACTTTTAATTAAAACAATAGCACCAGTAATAGCAAGTACCTTATTGAGCATTTACTGTACTAGGAACTTTACCTATATTCTTTAGATCAGAGGTGGCAAACTGGTCAAATCTGTCTACCTGTTTTTATAAATAAAATTTTAATGAAACAGCCATCGTGTCCATATTGTCTATGGCTGCCTTCCTGCTACAATAGTGGCAGAGACTGTGTACCACAAGTCTAAAATATTTACTTTGTGGCTCTTTATGGAAAATCTGCTGACTCTACTCCAGTTTAGTCCTTATAACTATTATCCTTGTTTTACAGACGAGGAAACTGAGGCTTAGATAGCTTAGGTAACTTGCTCAGGTTCACAGTGCTGGAGGTAGTGGGATGATTTCTGACTAGGCTGTTCTTCATGTGTATCAGCTGACAGAAGAGCATATGACTGCCACCCAAGAGTACACTGTTAGGGAGAACTTGTGCAAGGAGTCTTTTCCTAATCACCCATTTAAGCAGGATAGAACCCGAGGTTTCTTCCTTGGGTTTAGGAATCAACCCATTTCAATTGCTTCATCATTGGGGTGAAATCAAGCATTCTAAAGAACCGAATTAGTAATTCAGGTATTTATTTCAGTTTGAATAAACAGCACCTCAAGTGTGAGAGCCTATCCTGGTGATCAAAGTGTTTCTTGCTACAAGCTTGCCCGTGGGTTGCCTGGAAGCATAGCTTTTGGTGTGCAAACATGAGATCACAGTGAAAGTTTATGAGAAGCTATAGGATGTGAACTCTATATAGGTTTTTGGTCTAGATTTTTGTTGGTTTGTTTTTTGTTTTTTGTTTTTGAGATGAAATTTCACTCTTGTTGCCCAGGCTGGTATGCAATGGCGTGATCTTGGCTCACTGCAACCTCCATCTCCCAGGTTCAAGCAATTCTGCCTCGGCCTCCCAAGTAGCTGGGACTACAGGTGCTCACCACCATGCCCAGCTAATCTTTTGTGTTTTTAGTAGAGACGGGGTTTCATCATGTTGACCAGGCTCCTGACCTCAGGTGATCCACCCACCTCGGCCTCCCAAAGTGCTGGGATTACAGGTGTGAGCCACTGCGCCCAGCCTTTATTGCCTTTTATCTACAAACAAATGGGAAAAAACCTAAGTGTCCTCTGCCCAACAATTTATTTAGTTGACTGAGTATTGGAAATCAGACTAATTAATCATGTTCCTGAATTTGTTTACAAATTTTGTAAACATGAGGGGTGGAAGTAATTCAGTTGTATTGATAATGTTTGGTTTTTTTTTCAAATAGGGCTTGAAGAAAAGGTGGGAAAATGTTAACAAAGCTTGCCAAATCTAGGTGATGGGGCATTTGTATTATATTAAGTTTGTGCTTCCATATGTCTGGAATTTTTCATTAAAAAACTTTTTTTACATTAAAACAAAATAGGGCTGGGTGCGGTGGCTCACACCTGTAATCCTAACACTCTGGGAAAACAAGGTGGGCGGATCACTTGAGGAGACTGCCTATTTAAAAGAACCCTCTGGTAATCCTTTGAAAATACTTACTTCTGATTGTCTTCTGTATGTATCCTGATTTCATATATTTAATTTTAAGCCTGTTTTGTATCATGCAGTATTTTGCATATATATGTATGTACAATATATATTTATTCTTAAATTTATTTTTTATTTTTTATTTTTCAGACTAGAGTCTTGCTCTGTTGCCCAGGCTGGAGTGCGGTGGTGCCATCTTGGCTCACTGCAACCCCCACCCCCCAGGTTCCAGAGATTCTCCTGCCTCAGCCTCCTGAGTAGCTGGGATTATAGGCACCCACCACTACGCCTGGCTGATTTTCGTATCTGGCTAATTTTTGTATTTTTAGTAGAGACAGGGTTTCACCATGTTGGCCAGGCTGGTCTCAAACTCCTGACCTCAGATGATCCACCTACCTTGGCCTCCCAAAGTGCTGGGATTACAGGTGTGAGCCACTGTACCCAGCCTATTTTTAAGTGCTCTCATATCCTTAATTTTAGTTTATATTCAGAACAGGCCTGTGAGGTAGATGGAGTGAACATTATTTATCCTTGTTTTATAGATGGTGGACCAGGTAGAAAAATTAAATAAATTGCTTAAAGAAAACAGCTTTTTTTTTTTTTTTTTTTTTTTTGAGATGGAGTTTTGCTCTTGTTTCCCAGGCTGGAGTGCAATGGCGCGATCTCGGCTCACCGCAACCTCCGCCTCCCGGGTTCAGGCAATTCTCCTGCCTCAGCCTCCTGAGTAGCTGGGATTACAGGCACGTGCCACCATGCCCAGCTAATTTTTTGTATTTTTAGTAGAGACGGGGTTTCACCACGTTGACCAGGATGGTCTCGATCTCTCGACCTCGTGATCCACCCGCCTCGGCCTCCCAAAGTGCTGGGATTACAGGCTTGAGCCACCGCGCCCAGCCAAGAAAACAGCTTTTTGATGATACTAAGACACAGATTTCATGAATAAATTTTAATGCCATCTGCACTCGATTTTTTCTGCTGAGAGTAATACCTACCTTTTTGAAAAAATAGTGTAGGTAATCTTAGGATTCTCCTGTATAGAATGAAAATGCCTTTTACTGTAAATTTCTAGGAAAAGTAATATATTGGAAAATTAAAGACTATCATTATCCCTCTGGAAAATAAAATTTTCAAACAGTTTTGAAGAATTTGAAAATGAATAGTTTTGGCATATATTAGTAGCAGGTTTCTTAAATGAAGCATGGGAAATATAAAAGTATTATTTAGCAATAGAAGTGAAAGCAGAAGTAAAAAGTGATTGCCTGTGAATCAACACTGGGGGAGGTACAGAGAATAGCAGGGAAGACTGCTGGGCCTCCACAGAAACTCTTTGCTGTTTTTCTTAACCATAGACATAGTTTACTTTAGAAAATTTAAATAATGTTAAAGTTGGGGTATCCTGCCTTCATCCCCTACCTCCCGCAACCTTCACACGTACAAGGAGGAGATCCAATATGAGTCTCTAGGTTTTTTGTTTGCTTGCTTTTACTTGCTGTAAGCAAGAGGTTTTTTTGCCTGTGAACACCTAAAATTTGGGGGGTTTTTTTGTTTACTTGTTGTTTTAAAGAAAACAGAGTTTGTTTTTCTCTCAAGGCTTTTGCTCTCAAGTTATTTTGGTTTCTTTGTATGTTCTTTTAGACCTCTCACTTGACTATGCCTCTCAGCCAGCAAATCTTCAGTTCCCTCACATAATGCCCCTTGCCGAAGACATCAAAGGTTCTTGCTTCCAAAGTGGGAATAAGCGGAACCATGAACCTTTTATTGCTCCAGAAAGATTTGGAAACAGTAGTGTGGGTTTTGGCAGTAATTCCCATTCCCAAGCACCAGAGAAAGTGACGCTTCTTGTAGATGGCACACGTTTTGTTGTGAATCCACAGATTTTCACTGCTCATCCGGATACCATGTTGGGAAGGTAACTGATGATAATTTTCTTCCAAATTTACTCGATTCTCTATAAACAGACATACCTGCTATTTATCTTGCATTAGATATAATAATAAAAAGCATTGTGTAGGCCAGGCGCAGTGTCTCGACGCCTGTAATCCCAACACCACTTTGGGAGGTTGAGGCAGGTAGATCACCTGAGATCTGGAATTTGAGACCAGCCTGGCCAACATGGTGAAACCCTGTCTCTACTAAAAATAGAAAAATTATCTGGGAGTGTTGGCAGCTGCCTGTAATCCCAGCTACTTGGGAGGCTGAGGCAGGAGAATCAGGAGAATCGCTTGAACCTGGAAGGTAGAGGTTGCAGTGAGCTGAGACCACACCATTGCACTCCAGCCTGGGCAACAGAGCAAGACTCCATCTCAAAAAAAAAAAAAAAAAAAAAGTATTGTATTTTTATTTTTCTGCCCTCACACATTTGTGAAAGGGAGGATAAGCTGGTAAAAGCTTAATGTGTGTTGGTATTTTGGGGTGGAGAGAATACTTACTTCATTTATAAAGCCAGTATACTGAAATGAGCCCCACAATAGGAAGTAAAATCTATTTGGAAACTATAAAAAAAAAAAAAAAACTGCTAAATCTGATTCTCTGCTCATCTACAAATTCACTCCAAGTAATGGTTTTAGAGTTTCACAGGTCAGAGATGCTGGGGTAAGGTGAGACCTAAGTCTCGCTCCCTGTTTTAAAATAAATAAATAAAAAACGGTATTAGACAAATGTTCTACATGGCACAAGAACATAGCCATTTTACTGAAAAGCATTTTCCTGCCATCTATTGCAAGTTTTATGCTTGCCAATGGATGCTATGCAGTCATTTTCTAATGCTTCCATTACTATTCAAGTATTTGAAATGTAATCTTTAAGTGGAATCTTTAAACCTAGTTATTTCATTTTTTCTTGATTGCTCTCATTATTCTTCATGGTCCATTCTCTGTGCTGCTTCATTTAGACTTATCTTCCCTTTAAGCATCTCCAGCCCCCAGATTTTTAGGGTTAGAATTTAGGAAATGGAAATAGCCTACTAAGGAGGAACAACGTCCAGGAAGGGGTCCCAGAGCCTGGCCTAGGAGTTAAGAGATTGTCTTTCTGGCCAACCATAGACCTTAACCTAAGGAAGAGCAAATTGGGATCAGAGTAAAAATAGTAATAATCATATTATATATGCAGATTTGGCTTTTGATAATTCTCATCTACTTAGAAGATTTTATTTTGTTTAGAGATCTAACTTCAGGACTTTGAATTAATTTAAGTTAGAAATTCTAATTGATCACACTAATTTATTGAATTCTAGGCTAAATAGAATCCAGCCATTCAAATATAGGTGTATTTGAACATACAAATTCATAGTGAACCACTTTTTAATTAGAACCAAACCTGTCTACATATTTCTTAAACATCTGAATTGTAGCACATTAAAACAATTTCCAGATTGGCCCTGTATTTTTTTTATCAGGCTTGACTTCTTGTTCTTAGTTTGGATATTACCACCATTCCCAACCCCTAAAAAAAGTGTTTCTTAGTGCAGACTGGCTGTTTTGGGTATGTTGCCTCTGAAAGTAGTGATCAAGAGAAGAAAAGCAAGTGTTTTCTGGGTAAGATTCTTGGGTGACACTGGTATGAATCTTGGAATGAGTTGTCCCATGAAGAGGAGAGTGTGGTGTTTTTTTTTTTTTTTTTTTTTTTTTGAGACAGAGTTTCACTCTTGTTACCCAGGCTGGAGTGCAATGGTGCAATATCGGCTCACCGTAACCTCTGTCTCTTGGGTTCAGGCAATTCTCCTGCCTCAGCCTCCTGAATAGCTGGGATTACAGGCACGCGCCACCATGCCCAGCTAATTTTTTGTATTTTTAGTAGAGACGGGGTTTCACCATGTTGACCAAGATGGTCTCGATCTCTTGACCTCGTGATCCACCCGCCTCGGCCTCCTAAAGTGCTGGGATTACAGGCGTGAGCCACCGCCCCCGGCCGAGTGTGGTTTTTTTTATCTGTATGGTTCATTCAGCTCAGTTGGCCAAGGTCATATGTTCTGTAAGTTATTTAGATTTGTTCTGTTTTGTGGCTGCCTGTTCTGTTATATACAGTACTTGTAAGCCTAGCCAGTGAGCTTACAGATGTCACACGGGGAGAAGGTGAGAGAAAGAGAATGGATTAATGCAGATCCATGCCACTACTAAATAAATAACGCTGAGCTGAAGTCCTACTAATTATAAATAGGGGGGTTATATTTACAATATGTTCACTATTTTTTTTCAAAGCTCTCTGATCTAATTTTCATTCAACCAGAGCATTCCAGAAAAACATCTGCATTCTTTGGAGGCTACTTTTATCAAGACAGATTTCTTATATGTGATACAGTTATTTGGGAAACATGTGAAATGGAATCATTTTCAGACTTTTGAAAAGCAGCCAGTTCAGGCTGGAGGATAAGTTTTGAACAGCGGAACAGCAATACTTCCCAGCAGTTTAAGGAAGGAAATGGCAGTGAGTCCCCATTGGGAAGTCAAATCTTAGTCTAGTTGAAGATAGTAGCTGTCTGCCCTTTCCTTTGTGTTATCTGACCATCCACTGCTCATACACAAAAGTGCAGCAGGAATAGAAGTCCTGGGGTTATTTAGACTGGAGGGGATCTGACAGAAGGGAGGAAGGATGGAGAGAGGTGGAAAAGTAAGCCCTCCTCCCTGTACCCTATGACTTCTGAATTCATGCTGAGAGCGAGCCTGCCTCTCTGAAATGTAGTAAACTGCTGATAAGCCTAATAATGCCTACCCTCCTTTTCTACCTGATCTGGAAATCCCATCATTATTCTTGGTATTGAGTAAGGCCATTTTTCCCCCAGAGCTCCACTGTTAAGACATACCAGGAAAGCATTAACATAGCTGCACCTAACAGAAGATGAGATGTTGAAAAGTAAAACTCAGAAATATTGACGAATGGCATGTTAGATAGGTCAGTGTTGACAGGAGAGGGGACAGGAATAAAAAGGAGTCTAAATGCTATCTTCCTGAGCTGTCAGTATATATAGGCAGGTTCTTGGGCAGTGGGGAGGGCATGAAAGGTCACCATCTCAACACAGATATTTTCCAAGGGCCACCTCTGCATTGCTGTTTACTGCATTTATTGCCAAAGAAACTCACTACAGGTGAACTTTGTGGACTTGATCCTTCATTGTTCGCACACAAATGCTTAAAGCAATTGTCTCCTTTTCCTGTCTGAAGGGAGTTGCCTAAGACTTGAGTTGTCTTGTGGGCATTGGGTCCCAGTGCTGTGTTTTTAACTTACACTATGAGAGAATGGGATGGAGTCTTCCAGAATGAGGTACAGAAGGGAGAAGTCTCATCTGTGAAGAATCACGCTGGAGAAGATAACATTATTACCTGGGTATCTTTCAGGATGTTTGGACCAGGAAGAGAGTACAACTTCACTCGGCCCAATGAGAAGGGAGAGTATGAGATTGCCGAAGGCATCAGTGCAACTGTATTTCGCACAGTGTTGGTGTGTAGTGGCCCTTTTTTGTTATATTCTCTTCTCTTCCCCAGGGGCATGTGTGATCAGTAGCCTTGAGATTTCCATCAGCTATGTTACTGTGTTTAGGGTCTCTGGTTTCCAGTTGTTTCCTTTCTCCCTTTGTTTTCTATTCCTGTAACTTTGAAATCCTTGCTCGTTTGTGTGTGGGCTCTATCAGTTACCAAGTTCTGATTAAACACCTCAAGATAGCCAGAAGCTGTTTTGCCATCTAATGAATCATACATTTGGTGGTAATTCCATTAGTGCATTGCTTTAACAGGACCAGGAATGCATAGGGATGAAGAAGTCATTTTTCATCTTGTTCTATGCCTACATTTTTTCCTCCTAATCTATTTACAGGACTATTACAAAACTGGTATCATCAATTGTCCTGATGGCATCTCTATCCCAGATCTTAGAGATACATGTGATTATCTCTGCATTAATTTTGACTTCAACACGATCCGATGTCAAGATCTGAGTAAGTACAAGAGCAGCTGCCAGCTACACTTGAACAGCTGAACTCTGAGTTTTCTTGGAAGTCACTGATTTTTTTTTTTTTTCTGAGACAGTCTTGCTCTGTCTCCCAGGCTGGAATGCAATGGTGAGATCTCGGCTCATTGCAACCTCCGCCTCCCAGCTTCAAGGGATTCTCTTGCCTCAGGCCTCTCTAGTAGCTGGGATTACAGGCACCTGCCACCACACCCGACTAATTTTTGTATTTTAGTAGTGACAGGGTTTAACCATGTTGGCCAGGCTGGTCCTGAACTCCTGACCTCAGGTGATCTGCCCACCTCCGCCTCCCAGAGTGCTGGGATTACAGGTGTGAGTCACCATGCCTGGCTGATATTTTTTATTACTAAACAGAAGGAATTTCAAGTGTGGGTTGAAAATCATCTGCAGAGGCAGAGATGTGATACTAACTAACCCGTTTCATCTCTTGGTTAAAAGCACTGTGAGGAACTGGAGTAGACAAAGGAAAACAGATAGTAGTTTCTAAATGGAGCTTGACAGTTGGAGACCAAGCTAACTGTTTCCCTCTTGGGATTTTGGTGTCTCAACTCTATAACAAACAAGGATACTGATGGTCCAGCATGAGGAACAGTTTACTAATAAAGTCAAACAGCACAAATTGGCCAGGTTCTCCTGATCATTATTTTGTCTTTTTTTTTTTTTTTTTTTTTAACTTGAGATGGGTTCTTGCTATGTTGCCCAGGCTGGTCTCGAACTCCTGGCTTCAAACAGTCCTCCCACCTCAGCCTCCTGAGTAGCTGGGACTACAGGTACATGCCACCATGCCTGGCTATTTTTTGTTTGTTTTGGAGACACAGTCTTGCTCTGTTGCCCAGGCTAGAGTGCAGCGGCACAATCTCAGCTCACTGCAGCCTCTGCCTCCTGGGTTCTAGTGATTCTCCTACCAGAGCAGCTGGGATTACAGGCGTGGGCCACCATGCCCAGCTAATTTTTGTATTTTTAGTAGAGATAGGGTCTTACCATGTTGGCCAGGCTGGTCTTGAACTCCTGACCTCAAGTGATCTCCCCATCTCGGCCTCCAAAAGTGCTGAGATTACAGGCATGAGCCACTGTGCCCAGCCTATTATTAAGTGCTTGCTAAGTGCTTTATAGATATGGACTTGCTTGAATCTTGTAACAACTCTGAAAGATGGGTGATAACCTCATTTAAGAACTTAACTTGTTCAAAGCTCTAGGCATTAAGGCTAGGAATAGAACTCAGATTGTCTGACTGCAAACTCCATGCTCTTATCATTACCTAGGCTTCCCGAAATTATTTAAAGAATTATTCTTTGAATTTCATGATACATTTCCCTGCATGTTGCATGAAGGCCTCTGTACATGTTATTTCCCTACTGAGTGTATTACACACTTAGATAAGTCCTTTGGTGTCACCAAAATTCAGATTATTCCTCTCCTATAGTACTCTTAACTCCAGGAAATGAGGATCCAAAGCATCTTCAGAAGAGGTATACAAAGATCGTCCCCAAATGATGATTTCATCTCTTATAGAATTAACGTTTATGGTCTGACCTTATATGTCCAACAAAACCTCAATTGATCAGAATGCTCAAGGATTATTAAACACGAGTAGAAGACATACTTAACAAAGCTTAATAATCACCTTGGAGCAGGAAACAATCTTTTTGTCTTTAAATGTGCCACTTCTCTGAACCTCATCAATGATAACAGCCATTACCTCATACTCTTTCACTCCAGTAATATGTGCATTTAGGCAGAAAGCATGTTCACCTACATTTTGTCTCTGCAGGTGCTTTACTGCATGAACTGTCTAATGATGGTGCTCATAAGCAGTTTGACCACTACCTCGAAGAACTCATCTTGCCCATCATGGTGGGCTGTGCCAAGAAAGGAGAGCGGGAGTGTCACATTGTTGTGCTGACGGATGAGGATTCTGTGGACTGGGATGAAGACCACCCTCCACCAATGGGGGAGGAATATTCCCAAAGTAGGAGCTTCCGGCATGGTGTAGATGTTTTCAGCAAGAAACTCGCTACCTGGGGTGGCAGCTTGATCCTAGAACCAATGTGACTATCAAAGTTGAGCCCGTGATGAGCACACTCACCTGGATGACAAATCCCTAGTGATGCAGGTCTAACCTTTATGCTGGGGAACATAGTGAATGTTGTTATACCATTCACTTCTTTCTCTGGTGTCTTGTACTGTGTAATATACTGAGGCAGCACATTAAATGATGGTGTCATTTTTTTAATTCATTTCATTTTTAAATCCCTTTTAATTGGTAATAATTCAAAATTCAAAAAAGCATAAAAGGATATGCACTTAAAAAGTCTTATTCTCATTCCTGCCCCATCTATCCCATTTTCTTCCTCAAGTTCTTTTATAGGCTTCCAAGTATATTCAGTGTACATACATAATCAATTACTTGTTTTCTCCTCCTCTTTCAGATGTACCATATCATACAACTGTTCTAGGCCATGTGTTAACATAAAAATCTTCAACGTTCTTTTTTATGTCTCTATAGTATTCCCTTGCACAAATGTGCCATAATTGATTTAACCAGTCCTATTATTGGATATTTAAACTATTGGCAGGGTGCAGTGGCTCATGCCTGTAATCCCAGCCCTTGGGGAGGCTGAGATTACAGGGCAGATTGTTAGAGGTCAGGAGTTCAAGACCAGCCTGGTCTGAACATAGCGAAACCCCATCTCTACTAAAAATACAAAAATTAGCTGGGCAATGTGGCACATGCCTGTAACCTAGCTATTCAGGAGGCTGAGACAGGAGAATCACTTGAACTTGGGAGGCAGAGGTTGCAGTGAGCCAAGATCACACCATTGGACTCCAGCCTGGGTGACAGAGCTAGAGTCTGTCTTTTTTTTTTTTTTTTTTTTTTTTTTTTTGAGACGGAGTTTCGCTCTCGTTACCCAGACTGGAGTGCAATGGCGCAATCTCGGCTCACCGCAACCTCCGCCTCCTGGGTTCAGGCAATTCTCCTGCCTCAGCCTCCTGAGTAGCTGGGATTACAGGCACGCGCCACCACGCCCAGCTAGTTTTTTTTTTGTATTTTTAGTAGAGACAGGGTTTCACTATGTTGACCAGGATGGTCTCGATCTCTCGACCTTGTGATCCACCCGCCTCGGCCTCCCAAAGTGCTGGGATTACAGGCTGAGCCACCGCGCCCGGCCGAGTCTGTCTTAACAACAACAACAAAAAAGATTTGTGGCTTTATAATTTTGATAGATATTGCCAAATTATCCTCCATAAAAGTTGTACCAATTTACACTCACAAAACAGGACATGACAGGTTTCTTTCCATTGTTTCCACCCCCTCACCAAAACAGTGGCTTTTTTTTTTTCTTTTTTGAGACAGAGTCTCTGTTGCCCAGGCTGAAGTGCAATGGCATAATCTGGACTCAGTGAAACCTCTGCCTCTCAGGTTCAAGTGATTCTCATGCCTCAGCCTCCCGAGTAGCTGGGACTACAGGTGCGTGCCACCACACCTGGCTAATTTTTGTATTATTAGTAGAGACGGGGTTTCACCATGTTGGCCAGGCTGGTCTCGAACTCCTGACCTCAAGTGATCCACCCGCCTTGGCCTCCCAAAGTGCTAGGATTACAGGAGTGAGCCACCATGCCTGGCCAACAGCGGCTTGAAAAAAAATTTTTTTAAGATAGAAGCTTGCTCTTTCACTCAGGCTGGAGTGCAGTGGTACAGTCGTGGCTCTCTGTGGCCTCCCTGGTCTCAAGTGATTCTCCCACCTCAGCCTCCAAGTAGCTTGGACTGCTGGTGTGTGCCACCACGACTGGCTGATTTATTTTTATTTATTTATTTATTTATTTATTTATTTTTTGAGACGGAGTTTCGCTCTTGTTACCCAGGCTGGAGTGCAATGGCGCGATCTCGGCTCACCGCAACCTCCGCCTCCTGGGCTCAGGCAATTCTCCTGCCTCAGCCTCCTAAGTAGCTGGGATTACAGGCACGCACCACCATGCCCAGCTAACTTTTTGTATTTTTAGTAGAGACGGGGTTTCACCTTGTTGACCAGGATGGTCTCGATCTCTCGACCTCGTGATCCACCCGCCTCGGCCTCCCAAAGTGCTGGGATTACAGGCTTGAGCCACCGCGCCCGGCCCGGCTGATTTATTTTTTAAATTTTGTGTAGAGATGGGGTCTCACTATCTTGCTTTGCCTAGGCTGGTCTCAAACTCCTGGCCTCAAGGCATCTTCCTGCATTGGCCACCCAAAGTGTTGGGATTATAGCTGTAAGCGACCATGCCTGGCCCCAAGACAGTATTTTTAAAAACTTTTACCTTTGCTAATTTCTTAATAGGTAAAAAACGGCAGCAGCTCATGACTGGCATGAGTTTTAAATTACATTTCGTATTTCATAAGTGATTCCGTAAAAGAAATCTTTTTTTTTTTTTTTTTGAGATGGAGTCTCCTTCTGTTGCCTAGGCTGGAGTGCAGTGGTGTGATCTCAGCTCACTGCAACTTCCGCCTCCCAGGTTCAAGTGGTTCTTCTGCCTCAGCTTACCGAGTAGCTGTGATAACAGACCACCTACCACCACGCCTGTCTGAGTTTTGTATTTTTAGTAGAGATGGGGTTTCACCATGTTGGCTAGGCTGGTCTCCAACTCCTGACCTCAACCGATCTGCCTGCCTAAGCCTCCCAAAGTGCTGGAAATGCAGGTGTAAGCCACTGTGCCAAGGCAAAACCTTTTTAGTTTTCAAGAACCATCATAATTTCCTTTTTTGTTCACGGTGTTTGTGCCTTTTGTCCATTACGAAATCAGACTGTTAGTCTTTTGCTTAGTGATTTGTGAAAGCTCTATTTGTGGCAGCTCTTTCTAATTAAAGAAATCGGCCTTTTATAAGTTGCAAATATTTTTTCATTCAGTTGTCTTTTTAGCTTTGGTAAATGGTGGTTTAGGCTATGCCGAGATGTTATATTTCTATAATAGTCAGTTTTTCTTTTATGGCTTCTGCATTTAATGTTGTACCTAGAAAGTCCCCAGCCTGAGACTACAAAAATTTCTCTTATGGTTTATGTATTATTTAACATTTAATCTTTGATCCATCTGGATTTTTTGGCATTAGTGGTCAAGTATACCTTTCGTTAGTTTGATTGTGTTACCTTCTCTCTTTCCTCTTAGGTCTTCACTTCACGGCTAACCCCATATTTTTTCTCTTTCAGTTCTTTATAGCTCCAAGCTCTACAGATTCTTCAAATATATAGAGAATCGGGATGTTGCAAAAACAGTGTTAAAGGAACGGGGCCTGAAAAACATTCGCATTGGAATTGAAGGTAAAAAAAAAAAAAAAAAAAAAAAGTCCCAGTCAACATTCAGGTTGGGTCTATGGCCACAACTTATGTCCTGAAAATTTAGTTTCCAGAGGACCTAGGAAATAGGCATACATGAAAACCACATTCTTACTCAAGTTTGAAGGGTTTCTGTTTTTGTCCTCATTTTTCATTTTATCTGCAGTTAAAAATGGTTTAAAACAGCCACAGAAACAAGTTCGAGTTTACTAATTCAAGATAAAGAGCAGTGAGGGAAAGGGCACTGGTAGAAGGAGGTACAGCAGGGCTTGTGGGCTCACCAGGTGAGAGCATCGTTCTGCCACCAGTCTTGAAGATGTTTCTGGCATCTGGAAGGGTCCTTCTGAAAAGAGCCTGGGGACTCAAAATGTAAGGTTATTCCATGCCTTTGAGGAATGTCTGGATCTATTAACAGAACTACTTTGAATGATCTTGAGCAGTGGCTCCAAACCTGTGGTCTCCATGGAAGGCTCTCAAGCGACTTCATTCCTGGAGAGTGCCAAAGCCATCAGCCACCTGGTCTGCCCTGTGTGGATCTTTGTTTGACGCTTGCGCTTCGCTAACTCTTGCTGCCTCACTTCTGCTCATACAACCCATCAAACCTTCATTGTGTCTGACTTAAGTGGAATTTAAAGTTGGAAGACATTCTTTTTTTATGAGATAGGCTTTCACTCTCGCTCACACTGGAGTACAGTGACATAATCATGGCTCACTGCAGCCTTGACTTCTTGGGCTCAAGTGGTCCTCCTGCCTCAGCCTCCCGGGTAGCAGAGACCATAGGCACATATCACTATGCTGCACTTTTTTTTTTAACCTTTTTTATAAGAGATGAGGTCTTCTTTGGCCCAGGCTGGTTTTGAACTCCTGGACTCAAGCAGTCCTCCTGCCTTGGCCTCCCAAGGTGCTAGGATTACAGGTGTGAGCCACAGTGCCTAGCCTTGGAAGAAATTTTTGAAGATTATCTATTAAACCTCCTACTCTGTCTTTCCCTTGTCAAGTACATTTCCCAGAACAACCTATTGAGCTATTTTACCATTAGGACATTCTGCCATACATACTTAATAGATAACTGCCTCCCTCCCCTGCTTGTCTTCTAATTAATAGCCTCTGAAGCTACTTTGACTATTTGTCCTATTTCCATGTGACAGCCTTTCACATATTTTAGGCAGCATCGCTGTTTTTTCTTTAGGCTAAACATCCCACGTTTCCTTAACTGTTTCTCATATAGTATGTCCTCTGTCCAACAGAATTCAGAGGACTAGAGTAGCCGTGCATCAGGAGGATTTTTGTTCCATGGTATTGTTACTAGTTCCTGAACTAGTAAGAGGCTTCTCTCCTCTTTGCATTAGAAGGGATAGAATTCTTGTTACCCCTCAGTTAGTCCCTTCTAAGGACAAGACCTACTAATCTGAGCAGCAAGGAAGTGAACATGTAGGTGCTTGGGGCTGAGAGAGCATGGAACAGGGACTAGTCACTTCTCACATATTTTTCAGGCTATGATTTTGGGAGAAAACTGATGTGGTTAGGAAGGAGAAAATAGGGACCCCAGAGTGAGCACAATTTGTCAGTCATGAGAATGGCCTTTTTCCGTTGCAGGTTACCCTACCTGTAAAGAAAAAATTAAGAGAAGACCTGGCGGCCGGTCTGAAGTCATCTATAATTATGTACAACGCCCCTTCATCCAGATGTCATGGGAAAAAGAAGAAGGAAAGAGTCGCCATGTGGATTTTCAGTGTGTTCGAAGCAAATCCCTCACGAATCTGGTAGCTGCTGGAGAAGATGTCTTGGAGGACCAGGAGATATTAATGCATCACCCACCACAAGTGGATGAACTTGACCGGCTAAATGCCCCACTTTCTCAGATGGCTTCTAACGACTTTCAGGATTAGGGCCAGCTGTGGGTCCACCCCTTGTGAGATGCCTGCAGCTAGCCCTCCCTCATGATTTGTCTCACCCTGAGTAGAAGACATGCTTCTCCCCTATCCATTTCCTTTCTCCCATAATTAACATGTGTCCTTTTCAGTAAGTCTGTGCCTCTGGCAGGGGATGAAGTACTCACTGGTGAATTAGCTACCATCTTTGCAGAAGCCCTGGTAACTTGAAAAATTTGGGTCTGGTGCTGTTCACTGAGTCTTTGTGTAACTGCAAAAGCAGGAAAGGAAGTCAAGACTCCTGTTGCCTCGTGTTTAGCAAAGCAGTCCTCATCCTTTTTACTCTGTTCTTGAGTTTTGTTTTTGTTTTATACCAGGCAAATTGCTTAGTAGCAAAGGGACCAAACTTAAAAGGTGACAATCTCTAACTTCTAAAAGCAGGCACCAGATGCTTATTAGAGGTTAATCAAGATGCCATTCTTGGAGGCCTCTGCACCCAAATTGCATCTGGAAAGAACTATAGGCTCCCATTCAGAATGTCCAAAAGGAAATTCTCAAGAGCTTAAATTCAGATTTCTCATTAATGCAATGAAAAATTCAAAACCACACAGATTTCTTTGGCAGGAAGGATAATGGAATAACAATGTTGATGAGACCTTTTTAGCTTCAAGGTTTTGGAATTAAACAATTTGATGATTCATTTGGAATGAAACAAGTAGAAGAACCTCTCCAAATCAGGCCAATGAGATTATCCTGGCTTGGGATCTGTTGTGAAACCACAGGTCTTGACACTCTGGGGCAGCACATTGCTGTGGATGTGGCTAGGAGACCCTAGAATGGCTTAAAAGCTTTCAAGATGAAATGAAATTTCATTTTCAGCAGAAATGTCTCACAAGTGCCCAGTTTCTCAACAGACTTAGAAGAGTGCCAGCCGGGGGTGTTTGGAGTGAAGCTGGGTGGGAAGCATCATCTGCACAGTCCCTGTCCTGGTGCAGGATTTTTCTCTGCGTGTTTTCATATCATGGGATTTTTGGATATCTGTGTATTTTGGTTCTTGAAATAGCCTAATTGCTGCTCACACACTGGGTAAGAAAATTATACCAATGTCATCCCCAAAGGAAGAGTGAGTTGAAGGGAAATTAAGCCCAGTCATTTTATTTGATCTGTCAGCTCTGTTATCAGTGCATGCTCGCCCAGATCACCCTCCCCAGCCCCCACAGTGCTGAACCACCTTCCTTTTCTCCATGGCTATTAACAGTATGGTTAAATAATTAAGAGTCCAGAGCCAAATATAAATATTTTGGTAGAAGCTGACTGGAATACAGGTTGAGCATCTCTTATCCAAAATGCTTGGGACCAGAAATGTTTCAGGTTTCAGATATTTTTCAGAGTTTGGAATATTTGCCGAATACTTAACAGCTGAACACTCCAAATCTGAAAAGCTTTTGAACATCATGTCAGCACTCAAAAAACTGGACTTTGGAACATTTCAGATTTTAAATTTTGGGATTTGGGGTGCTTACCCTGTGTAAGAGAGGCTACTTGATTCCATTTAATGACTGTCCCAGTTATAATCATCCAAAGATAAAAGCTGGGTAGATGTTGAAAGCTCTTTCCAGGATTGAAGAAGAGCGTTCTTATGTCTCTTATGTGACTAGCATCACAGTGGGAATAAATGCTCTGTTCTTCACTAGCAAGTTGAACTGTCCCCCACATGACAACCATTGGCATCCATTTGCTAGGCTGATGGCCTGGATTAAGGGTTAGGATTATTTGTAGCTAGGAGGTAGTTTTACTTCTGTGAAACTAATTGGTTCATATTTGAGGTCAGGTTTGGCCCTGACCTTACCAGTACCACATTTATACCCACTACCAGTTGACTAACCCAGATAATTGTTAAATGGTGCTTCCTTTCTGCTTCTCAGAAGACTTCCATGCCACTACAAAGGAAATTTGAATTACCTAGTGTTTGTATATTCCGTAAGTATGTGTAACTTCTGTTACACAGCTTATGTATTCCTAACATTTAAGTGTAAACATGCCACAGCTAACACTTAAAAATGAAAACTAGTTCTTCCTTAGGGGAAAAAAAAAGTATGGAATGTACTTGATGCTGTTCTGTGTAACCCTTTACTTTGCTCAGGCTTTCAAAATTGAAGTCCTTTTCCCCCTAACTTAGGTTAACAAGCATTTGGCCCCAACCTGTGGGGTTTCGGTAAGCTGGAAATCTGTGAAGGCAGGTCTAGTCACGAGGTGGTGGTGACAGAAGGAAAAGCTGGGACCACAGGTTCCTTCTGGTGGAGAGGAAGGTTTATTTCTATGCCCCTCCACCACCCTCCACGTGGCGCTCACCCAAGCCTGCTCCATTCCTGGGGCAGGACAAAAAGCAGGACCTCTTAGACCTCACAGAAACAAGGGCCGAGTTGAGGTCACCCCCTTCAGAGTTGGTTACTGACCAGATGGGCAAGAGGCATTTCTAATTTTAAAAAGGTGGAACTTGGGTTTGGTGTTTTCTTCTAAGTGCCTAAATAAGCAAACCAGGCTGTTTATACAGAAACATTTTCATAAGAAGATGGTTTTAGCCAGAGTACCTTACTCAGAGCATCTCAGCAAGCCATGATTAACTTGAATCTGAGGTTTAGAATCTTGAGTTTGCATCTGCAGCATGTCACGCAGGGTCGATGAGGAAACATTTGCCACTCAGGAGTTGGAGGGAGGGCAAGAGGACAGTGTTAAAATGTGTCAGATCATTTAACAGTTTCTCCTAAGCTAAGCCCTGGAAAAATATTTGAAAGAATGGCAGCAAAAATGGTAAGAAAGTAAACTACATTTACTGCACAATATGCAGTAGCCAGTACTACTATAACTCCCAAGAGAACACTATGATGTGTTTTGTTTTGTTTTGTTTTTTGAGACGGAGTTTCGCTCTTGTTACCCAGGTTGGAGTGCAATGGCGCGATCTCGGCTCACCGCAACCTCCGCCTCCTGGGTTCAGGCGATTCTCCTGCCTCAGCCTCCTGAGTAGCTGGGATTGCAGGCACGCGCCACCATGCCCAGCTAATTTTTTTGTATTTTTAGTAGAGACGGGGTTTCACCATGTTGACCAGGATGGTCTCGATCTCTTGACCTCGTGATCCACCCGCCTCGGCCTCCCAAAGTGCTGGGATTACAGGCTTGAGCCACCGCGCCCGGCCAGTATGATGTTTAATATATACTGGTCTATGAAAATACTGTGGAATAAGCCCAGGAAGGTCAGATGTGTTTGCAGGTAGTGTCCCAAGGGTCCCCCTCTAAGTAACACAAATATTCAGACCACAGGCTTTAATGTAAACTCATAAAGTAGAACGTAGAGGATTTTTTTTAAAGAATCGAGTGTCAGTCAAAGTTAAAACTCAAGGGCTTTTGGCCAGGTGCAGTGGCTCACGCCTGTAATCTCCACACTTTGGGAGGCCAAGGCGGGCGGATCACAAGGTCAAGAGATCAAGACCATCCCAGCCAACATGGTAAAACCGCATCTCTACTAAAAAATAAAATAAAAAAATAATAAAAAAAATTAGCTGGGCATGGTGGCGCACACCTGTAGTCCCAGCTACTCAGGAGGCTGAGGCAGAATTGCTTGAACCTGGGAGGCAGAGGTTGCAGTGGGCCAAGATAGCGCCACTGCACTCCAGCCTGGTGACAGACTTGAGACTCTGTCTAAAAAAAAAAAAAAAAAAAAGAGCAGCCTGGCCAACATGGTGAAACCCCACCTACTAAAAATACTAAAAAGTTTGGTTGTGGTGGAAGGCACCTATAGTCCCAGCTGCTTGGGAGGCTAAGGCAGGAGAATCACTTGAACCTGGGAGGTGGAGGTTGCAGTGAGTTGAGATTGCACCATTGTACTCCAGCCTGGGCAACAGAGCAAGACTATCTCAAAAAAGAAAATCAAGGATATGGGGCTTGTAATCCTAGCACTTTGGGAGGCCAAGGTGGGAGGATCACTTGATGCCAAGAGTTTGAGACTGGCCTGGGCAACAAAAAAAATAGCCAGGCATGGTAGTGCACACCTGTAGTCCCAGCTACTCAAGAGGCTGAGGCAGAATAATTGCTTGAGCCCAGGAGAATGAGGCTGCAGTGAGCCATAATCATGCCACTGCATTCCAGCCTGGATGACAGAGCAAGACCCTGTCTCAAAAAACATTTTAAGTCAAGGGTTTGTAGTAACATATATTCAATGCCACTTGTTGCCATCACTTTGCAGTTGTTGAAATGGGCATACTGAGCTCAGAAAGCAAATCTGATGCCTTCATGGGAGATGGAGCCACATTTGTGTTCTGGGTGGGATCACTTGTGCAGGAGAACATTACATTTTCTCCTGAAGGCGAAATGCCCGTAGGTTTTGCCTCTTTACTTCGTATTTACTTGTAAAATTGCACTTGTTCACCTACCAGTGTTTGTGAAATCCTATACTTGGGATGCTTTTTCTATAATAAAATATTATCATTTATGTGTCTGTTTTTTTAGCAGAAAGTAAAATTAGAAATCAAGATGTTGGGCCGGGCACGGTGGCTGTGACTCATGCCTGTAATCCCAGCACTTTGGGAGGTCAAAGCAGGTGGATCACTTGAGGTCAGGAGTTTAAGACCAGCCTAGCCAACGTGGCAAAAACCCATCTCTACTAAAAATACAAAAACTAGACAGGCGTGGTGGCACATGCTTGTAGTCCCAGGTACTCGAGAGGCTGAGGCAGAAGAATTGCTTGAACCCATGAGGCGGAAGCTGCAGTAAGCTGAGATTGCGCAACTGTACTCCAGCCTGGGCGACAGCAAGAATCCGTCTCAAAAGAGTAGATGGGTCTTTGAAGACCTCACTTCCAAAGTGGTAGCTGAAGCCACCGTATGGTGAAGATCACCAAGAGCTCACATGACGAGGGCAAAGGCACCAGCACCAACATTTAAGTGGCAGGCAGAGGAACTAGTAAGAAGGAAGTCAGGGAGGTATGAGGAGAGTTTGTTTTAGATGTTAACAGTGTGAATGCAGCAGATCAAAATGAGGACTGAAGGGAACCCAATGGATATAGCAGAACACCAGCAGAACAGAGGAGTGATATAAATACAAGCATGTTTTACACAGAGGATAGTTAGTAAATACATTTCACACACACGGCAGAAACTAGACCGGCATGGATTAAAGTGGGGAGGTGGGAAATGAAGTAAAAGTAACTGGCCGGGCGCGGTGGCTCAAGCCTGTAATCCCAGCACTTTGGGAGGCTGAGGCGGGTGGATCATGAGGTCGAGAGATCGAGACCATCCTGGTCAACATAGTGAAACCCCGTCTCTACTAA